TTCTAAAATATTACGTATCTATAATACAATATTGAATTACCATCTTGAGATTGCGTCGTAAGTAAAATGATCCATGAAGATAATGGGACATGGGAAACAAGACTACGATGTTAATTTATTATATTTAATAAGGTTGTATGCTCACACGAATGCGATTTTTTAAAATGGTCACGACGATATTATTACGGCAATCGTCTATCTATAAATGTATATTGTATTATGAGTGCCTACCTACTGTTTACGACTATTCTGTGTAGGACATATTATATAATTTGGTAGTTGATACAATGAAGAATCATCAGGTGGCGTTCGTTATCGACGATAATAATATAATGCAGTGTAATTTTTTTAAAGTAGTTCACCCCTTAGTCCTTACTGATGTTACTGTTTTCGATATATTATAACCCAAAATGACATCAAGTGCTAACAATCACTATTTGAGCACAAGTGTCCCGAAAACTTAATGTTATTAATTTAATAAAATATAAACGTTAAATATCTGCAGGCGGCATACATTCTTATATATAATAATATTATTATAGACACGCATAGTTAAATTATGCTGATAATAATAAATTATGTTTTATTATTGACATATCATTTAAATTTCAGTGTTGTGCGTTTATTCACAATCAATTTTCAAATTTCCGGGGATGTTATGCCGATATAATTATATTAAGATTGGTACTGCAGAGCTTAAAATAATAGTCATTGATGATTTCCTCTAGTCCTTAATTGAAAATAATGCTCTGGCATTAGGATATTTTGCATTATCATAAACTCAATGGTGTGTTTTCGGCAATATTTCACAATATCTTATACCTATTTATTATCTTGTATTAAAAACATAAAGGAATGTAGGACTGGTATGATGACCGCCACGGCGCCGCCCGCCCTAATATTTAATATGTATTGATGCATGATGTTTAAAGGTTTGGCTTACCTAATAGCGCCATCACTGGAAACATCGATAAGTTTTCTACTCGGAACCCGAAAAATCACAGAAAATAGAAATTAATAAATAATATAATTTATATTATAATATAATAATTGTTGTACTATACAATATAACAAAATACATTTTATTTTGTTCGAAACTAATGTTGCAGGTGTTGGTAGCCGGTAGGTACTACAAGTTTTAATATTTTAAAATTTATGGCCGAACATTTTCAACTTTTTCACAATTTAATTGAGTTTGAAAACTCGACGTTTATTATTGCAAGTTATAACTTATAGGTCATAGCATATATATTATATATATATATCTGCGATATTAGTGTATAGTGTACATAATATAGGCAATGCCGGCGGAGTGTGAAATTATATATATTACATATATTACATGATATACGTCAGAAAATTCGCACTCCGACGTTGCCAGATTTGTGCTAATAAAGAGAGTAGGGTAAGTTTTCGTTCGTTCCCCGGGCCTGGGGTTCCGACGCCGCACCGGATCTAATCTGCACACCCCTCGCGCGCTGCTGCAGTGACGGCAGTAGCGGCGGCGGCGCGTATTGATTTTGCACAGACCGCCGCGGCTGGCGGCGCCGCCGTTCGATACAAAACGCCGCGCTACACCTACACCCCGACGACCGTCGCTGGTTTCGCGTTTTTATTGTGCTCTTGCACGCATTACCAACCTAAAAGCACGCGACCTCCTCACCCTATCTCTCGTATATGGTGTACGTGAACGGGTATAATATATAGTGACAGCAACCGTTTGTCGTAATATTGCACAATTTCCCTGACATTGGGATACCCACGGCACCTATAGGATATATACAAAGGAGAACGTAGCATAGGTATTGTCGAATTCGCGTGGTGTATGTAGCAGGGATCGTGATCAATCCTATTGCGCATAGTTGTGGGAGTACCCATATTTAAAATATTATATAAATAAATATCATATAATTAATATTTAATATTGTCATAGTGACGTAGGATATTTTCGTCTAGTGCACGGCAACTTGCGTATTAGTTGTATTCAGTGGCTTAGCGAACCCAAGATAACCCATAAGCAACCTAAAATTGACCACCCATCCATTTACAACAATTTATAATAAACACAAGTACTTTTCGTATTTTTCGTATTATTAGTATTTACTATTATTATGTAATAATTGTATTTCATTTTCATATTGAGCACCCACCCACCCACCCCCAAATATTAATACAAATCGAGAAGTAAGTGCCTCTCAAAGACCACATTCGTCTCGCCGGTTACCACTGGTTGTACGAGTGAAATGTTTAATGTAAATTTCGTAAAAGGTCGTAAACTTACATACCTGCAGTATACGATTATTAAAAGCTTAAGTTCATTAATTGTTTGTCAAGTTCAAAATAACAAATTGGTTTGGAAATATAGACATCCTTATCGGATATCTTAGGCCTGTTTAAATAAACCGCTCTCGCATATTATATTTAACAATATCAAACCAGTTTTCAAGTATACCACAGTTGAATTATATATAGGTACCTATTTCACGAATTTCAGCTACTGTGGAAATTAATATTAATTGATTGCGATGGAAATTATTAACGGCTTATTAGGAAATTATTTTAGTAAAGTAGACATCATAAATTTAAGTGTGTTCATATCGTAGTCATATTATTTTAATTATTTCAGTTTGATTGCATACTGTTAAATATAATTCATAAAAAATTAAGCTATTTAAGAAAAGATATCAAACTTTTTGTATTTCAAGTTTCTTTTAAGAATATAAATCCTATTGCTACGCAATTATTTTTAACGATAAATTATGAGAACATGAAATATGTTGGTGTGTTAAATAGTTTAAAGAAAATTATTATTTTAAAATTAAGCCGAGCTGTTTTAGCGAAAATAAATAAAACTTAGTGTAGTCTCATTGTGTTCTTACGTTTTAATCGATAAGTCAAGAGTTTCAAAAGGTTAGAGTTCAAAATAAAAAAAAATTTTATTTTTTCAATTTCTCAAAAACTATTTCTTATAATTGTTCCTTAGTAATTTTTCTTTTCATTCATATTTAAAAAAAAATAAATATACGATAGGTAAAGCCTCCACATAGGTATATCCATCCCTTATGCAGGTCATACACACACACACACACACACACACACACACACACACAAACACACACACACACACACACACACACACACACACAAACACACACACACACACAGGTGTACGTGGCATTTGCAGCAAGTGCGCGCACCAGTTACGCCCGTAGGGGTTGGCAGCATTGACCAGTTGGGGGCTTTTTCAGTAATGACATTTGGGTGAGGGCGTCACACAGGGGAGGTGTTGGCCGTCTCGTCGCCGGCGATAAGCTCGAAGGGGCCAGTTTAGTATCGGTGCCGTACGCGGCAACACCGGCACAGAAATGGCGTAATTTAGACACAATTTACTTGTTGTTATATTATTAATATATAGTTGCACTAAGACAATTCGTTAAGTAGTTTACTCACCGCGGTCCGCGGCGTGGGTGGACATGGTCACCGAAACCGGACAAGTAAGAGTTTTGATTGTATATCATAACGTTAAAAAAATGTTGGCGTAACATTATTATTATTTCTCCCTATTTATTCGCACACGCCAATAATACTCGTATACAAAACAGCGCTTCGCATTTCTAGTTGTGTAGCAAAACCATTCAAATTCAGTAATCGATATGTACTGATTGTAACAAATGGTATTAATCTATTATGGTGCCATCCAGCTAATAGGATTTTTTTGATGTTTAAATTTATTAAATTATGAACTGATAAATTTTGATTATAAAAGTTTCTCATTATTAAAGGTTTATTGAAGGCTCTGTCTGGAAGGACAACAATTTACATACAAGTGTTGCGCTAACATCCTCTTAACATATTTCATATTTTATTTAGTCATCTGGATCTTGTGACTTGTGTTTAATATGCAGTCTTTATGATTTCGATATGAAATCTATATGCACTAATGATGGTCATCAGTCATCGCACCCTGTACGAAGCTTAACAAAACGTGCATTTAACGACTGCCTTAAATCGTTTCTTATTTTATCTTGTGTAAATAAACCATATAGTACTTAATATAATTTTTAATTATCGTTATTAAGTAAAATATTATATTATATATATTATATACCTATTTTATTATAATAATATAAGGAATAAAAGGAATAATATATAGTGAATAAAAGTGCTACAATTTATTATGCTGTTGATAAACTTTCTTTTTTATTATGTTTATTAATTTTATGATCGACAAAATAAATGAATATTTAATTTATTTGCAAAATATTAATTAAACACAAAGTCCCCAATGTTTTATAAGAATATATTTTTACTCCTAAAATAAATAAATGAAAAACTCGTATGCGAAAACTATGATCCATTTCCAAACTTTTGATTAGGAAATGTATAAGATAGAAACATGTAACGGCCAAAAAACGTATTTCGACAAAAAAAAATAATATTTAAAACGGTGATATTCTATTTCCTAGTCTCCTCACTTAATTTGGTATAGGTACATAAAAAAGTTCTTAAGTTCTAGACTGTTGACTGTTGTATGACAAATTAATTTTGTAATATTTGTATACATTTTATAGTGATTTGTGATACGGCATACTACTAATTATAATTTATAAACTTAGTTGAGTCTATAATACCTTATTAACAAAAATCATATTAATAAAATATGTCTTGCAACCACGATTCTATAAAAAATGTATTATTTTAAAATAGGCAAATAAATTATTCAGTAGTTTTTTTTATCTTTTCCCTTCATCCATTTTTATCTATTTAATTAATGTAAAATGAATAGGCAAATGTATAATAATATGTAATTTTTCAATCCGGAGGTAGGTTATAATGACCCAAATTTAATTTACTATAAGTGTTAGTAGTATCCACTAATATGTTATTATTTATAATTACAATACTAAAATATATGATTATTTAATTTCTTTATACTATTATTTATTCTGGTAGTTACATTATATTATATAATTTGTATAATTGTGCATATAATTTTATAGGCGGAGGGGAATACCTCTTCGTTTTTAAGAGCGGCACGATCCGGGAACCTTGATAAAGTCATTGAACACTTGAAAAATAAAATCGATATAAATACATCTAACTCAGTAAGTATTTAGAATAATTTTTACCTCTAGTAAATTTTAAAATTATATTCATCTTATCGTTTATTTTCAGAACGGTTTGAATGCTCTGCATTTGGCTTCAAAAGATGGGCATTTGGAAATCGTGAAAGAGTTATTAAAAAGGGGTGCTAACGTTAACTCGGCAACAAAAAAAGGAAATACTGCACTTCATATTGCTTCTCTTGGTATACAATAAATATTCCATTTTTTTTCAACGATTAACATAAATTATGTGTTTTCAGCGGGGCAATATGATGTGGTGGTCACCCTTGTGGAACATGGCGCATTGGTGAATGTGCAAAGTCAAAATGGTTTCACCCCTTTGTATATGGCTGCGCAAGAAAATCATGACAGAGTTGTTAAGTATTTGTTAGCAAATGGGGCCAATCAAAATCTGGCAACTGAGGTATGACGCGTGAAAAAAAGGTTAAATACAAATAAGCTATTTAATAACTGAAAATTGTTTTTTGTAGGATGGATTTACACCATGCGCTGTTGCAATGCAGCAGGGTCATGAAAAGGTAGTAACTGTGTTATTAGAAAATGATACCAAAGGTAAAGTGCGTCTCCCTGCATTGCATATTGCAGCAAAAAAAGACGATTGCAAGGCCGCAGATTTACTCCTTCAAGTAAACAATAAATATTTAATAAATATTGATTTAAATTATGAAATCATTACACAAAAATCGAATTGTTATAACAATTATATACTTTTTGGCATATAGAATGATCATAACCCAGACGTTACATCTAAGAGTGGATTTACTCCATTACATATCGCTTCACATTATGGAAACGACGGAATTGCTAAACTACTCCTTGCTAAAGGAGCTGACGTCAACTATTCTGCTAAAGTACGAAACTTTATTTAGGTTACAATGACAATACAAATTAATCTTAATGTTTTTGTAATAGCATAACATAACTCCATTACACGTGGCAGCGAAATGGGGTAAAAGCAACATGGTATCTTTGTTGCTCGAAAGCGGTGCAAATATTGAAGCTAAAACTAGAGATGGTTTGACGGCTTTACATTGCGCTGCAAGATCCGGACACGATCAAGTTATTGACATGCTTTTACAAAGAAATGCTCCAATCAGTTCAAAGACCAAGGTTGGTGTGGATCATACACTTTTTTAACCATAAAATACTTTAAAAAAATTATTATGAAATGGTTTTTATTCGTTTTTTAAGCGGAAAGAAAAGTCAAAGTTGTAAAATATGTTTTTTTTAATTTGTAGAACGGTTTGGCTGCATTGCACATGGCGGCCCAAGGAGATCACGTGGAAGCCGCTAAAGTGTTATTGTCCAACAATGCTCCCGTCGACGATGTGACCGTAGATTACTTGACTGGTCTTCATGTGGCCGCCCACTGTGGACACATCCGGGTAGCCAAACTCTTGTTGGAGAAACACGCGGATCCCGATGCCAGGGCGTTGAACGGTTTTACGCCGTTGCATATTGCGTGCAAGAAGAACCGCATCAAAGTTGTAGAGCTGCTACTCAAGTACAACGCGAGCTTGGAAGCGACTACGGAAGTGAGTATACCTATACCTGTATTTATACTATATAACTAATCATGTGTATTATTAATGCCTCAGGTCTGATGATCGATTCGACAGACCAAATATATGATGATTGAGTTTATCGATGTTTATAACGATTATTGTTTTTATATTATATAGTCCGGGCTTACTCCGTTGCACGTCGCCAGTTTCATGGGCTGTATGAACATCGTGATATTCCTGTTACAACACGAGGCCAACCCGGACCTGCCGACGGTGAGGGGAGAAACTCCATTGCATCTGGCTGCCAGGGCCAATCAGACAGACATCATACGGATATTGCTCCGCAACGGAGCTCAAGTGGACGCCAGGGCTAGAGTACGTGTAAATCTTGTGCCGGTTCCTATATGGTCGGATATGTGTCATATTTTATATATTTTGATATCTATTGTACAGGAGAAACAAACTCCGCTTCACATAGCTTCCAGGTTGGGTAACGTGGACATCGTAATGTTGCTGTTAGCTCACGGCGCCGCAGTCGATTCGACCACGAAAGATCTATACACCGCTCTACATATTGCCTCTAAAGAGGGCCAGGAGGAGGTAAGAGCACTGATTATGAAACGCATTATGGATCACGTGGACACAACATATTTGCTTGATAAGTTTTGGTCTGTTAGACGAGAATATTTTATTTAAAACAATTAAATATTGTGATTCTTTCCTTATAATTATCTTTATATCATAATATTTGGTACTAGAGTTCAGCGTACATCCTTATTGGATCGAGAAAAACTGGTGATATCTATTCGGTAAAATATTTTATCACTGTCAGAAATACCCGATGTCTTTGTTTTAATTAAATTTTGACCAATCAGTTATTATAGACCATAATAATTGTATCAATATAATTACGGATAAAATAATTCTTAAATAAATTACTCAAGTGATTTTAATATTCGAGTTAAAAATATACTACAAATATTATTATTCTAAAATAATTTAAATTTGTAAATTAAAAGTAATTAAGTATTCAAATTCAAATTTCGGTGCCAATATTAATTTGTGTAATAGCTTAAAGTACGTTAAAAAAGAATTTATCGGTTATAAGAATATGAATTAAAGTGTCCTAAAATGTCGTCGATTAAGTATTTCGAGTATGACGTAATTTATTTCTGAACAAAGGATTCACTGCCATATTATTTTCATCGAAATGTGTTCGTATTCTTCATAAATAAAAATAAATAATCTTATTTAATCTTGAATACATATAAATTAAAAAGCAATAAGAAATGAGGAAAATATACGTACTGTGCCAAATTAGACATTTGTTTTTTAATTATGACATATATAAATCAGTATTACTTTCGTATTAATCGTGTCATATTAATTGTCAAGCCTAACCTATTATAACACCTTCCTTTATGTAATAAGTAGGTTTGGGTTTCAATTCATTAATCGCCAAGTCGATAATTTGATGTATAGTTTGTAAAAATTTGCTAAAATATTTTGATCAAATTATGCATAAGAATTTAATAAATTATTCATATTTTTATTTTTATTTCCAAATTACAATTAAATGAAATTGTGTATGGTTCAGTGGTTCACTATATTATACGTAGACCCAAAACTAAGTCCAAAATCAAATTATTTTTCATTTAGTTAATAATTAAGTAAATAATTAAACTATATAATATAATATAATCATATTATTATTATATTATTTAGCAAATTTGCACTTATAAATTATTGTTATACGGTTTAATTATTATTACTGTGAATGTTAGAAATTAGAAAATATAATAGATTTACATTTATAACCTTAAACAGTTGTCATACTAGATGATGATGATATATTATAATATATTTAATATAGTGCTGTTAGTTTTTTTTTTTAAGTTTCATAAAAGTTTACATGACATAAATGTTATATCATAGCATTATTTTGATCTCTTAATCGTTGTTAAAATTCAAAAGACATCTTTTTATAATAGTTTAATCACCGTTAAAAACAAAACTAGAATATGGATGTGAATATTTTATGCTTAATCATTGTCATTGTTGTTTTCTTAAATTAAAAAAAAAATATTAAATATTTATAAACACGTTTTTGTTCGCTTTGCCTATTTTTTTTTTTTTTTTGTCAAGCCACTGCAATTAAAATGTCGTTTTTCCATTCTAAATTTCTTTTATCTTCAAAAATCAAGCAAGTCACTTGGTACTTGGTAAAATCGATATTGATTGATTAGGTAAGTCCTGAAATGTTGTTATTCTTATAAATATTTTCCATTTTTCCTACCATATCTAAATGTGGCTAAACATTTTTGGCCTAACTATCCTAACGCAATAATATATTATTTATTATGACTCTATACTTATTGGCTGTAAACTATTTATCATGGGCACAGGCTTTAGCTTCACAACACTGATGCAATGTATAAACATATTTAAAAGCTTGAATTTATTTATAGAAAAAATATCTAACAGCATTAACTACTTTTAACAAGCTTAAACTTTGTAAAATATTGTACACAAATTAATAAGTTGACAATGACTGATAATGAATGAGAAACACTGGACTTTTTTTGTTGGCAGGTTGCATCAGTGTTGTTGGAGAATGAAGCCTCAGTGACAGCAACCACTAAAAAAGGGTTTACCCCATTACATTTGGCATCAAAGTACGGCAACATTAAAGTCACCAAGTTGCTGTTACAAAAACAAGCTCCAGTTGATGCTCAAGGAAAGGTTAGTAATGGTTTTATCATTTTATAGCTAAAATATTTTTAGACTATTAACTTTTTAACAAGTTTTGAAAAATACATTTCGATGAATATTATATATTGAACGTTACAATATAAATGATAAATAAATATATATTTTTGAAAGGACGTCATGAGGATGTCGTATATGTCCTGTTACATATATTTGACATTCCTCTATTTGGGTAGTCCAATCTCGATTAAAATTGTATTTCTCTACTTCAAAGTTTAAAAATGCTTTACATAATGTACTGTCGCATAGACTATCTTTATAATATTATAATAACAACTAGTACCTAAAATATGGTTTGATTGACTTTTTAATACACATATACTATGTATAGGTACATATATAAACATACTTATATATATACATACCTTTTAACCTTTATAATATTTAATATCATATGAATTATATAATATCATAGTTAGATGTTCAATTAAAATATTGTCAGGTCTTCTATTTGGAAATGGCAACTAATAAAAACAAAATTATTATATTTATTTCAAATACCACATATACTCTAATATGTGCTAAAAAAACATAGGTCAAGTTATAAATAGCAGGTGTTGAACACTCATCATGCCCGTTTAATCCAGGCAAGAGTTGCTGATATATAATTATCCATTGAATAAGTGCGGTATCATTGAATTTGAAAAATTGATGATGGCTTGAGCTTGGCTTATTCAAGTGTTATGACAAGGTCTTTTTATAAATTAAGATAAAAATAATCTCAATTTGCATTCTTATTATCTTAAACTAAAAGAAGCTTTATTGCAGATGTTCCCAAACTTTTCATGGTACGACCCAATTTTAGAGATTCAAAAAGTCAAAACTCAAAAGTCACAATATAACAACGAATGATCAATTTTTCGTTCATTTCATCAATTTGTTTAATATTAAATTATGTAATCAATAATCGCTGTTTGAGATGACTTTTAGTCATCGTGGTGACACGTCACTTTGTAAAAGTATATTGTGATCGTCGGGGATAACGATCAATAATAGGTACAACTAAATTCGGACATCAATGAAGCGTAATAAATGTATAAAATAGTAAATAATTACACGGTTACACAGTATCATTGAATACTCTTATTGAAAATAAAAATAAATTTTTTTGTACATTTATATAAATACATATATTACTAGCTGATCCCGTGCACTTTGTTGCCCGTTAAAAATGCTAACTCTATATGAAACACGATGGTGATAATGCGAGCAGTATATTATGATGCCTACCTGCTGTGGATTTCGGACACGGCTTGATGAGTACTTTTTATAAATTATATGTTTTATTTTTATTGCGGACACGCCGATGAGTGGCTATAATGTAATTGGGCACGTCCCGTTTTTCAATAAATAAATAAATAAATAAATAAGCGCAACTCAGCCACCTTGGTAGGCAATGTGCGAAAATTCAATTGTATGCATGCTTATACCTGCACTGCACGATGAACCACTGTACGCAACCAATAAACAAAAAAAATATAACCATTTCTACTAAATATATTTATATTTCTCCTATAACCAATAGCAACCGTATATAAACAAATATTTTCTTTGTAAATCTTATAATCTCTGTTGGAGCAACTCCCCGGGTCGGACCTATCGGGTCCAATTGTGAATCTAAACCATCCAGGATTGTGTCTTGTTAGGTTAGTAAGATAAAAAAAAATAAAATTGTTCTCGCGCAGTTTTTCTGGTAACGCCAACAACGGAAAATGGAAAATTAAGTCGTAATAATCGAATAATCATATTTCATGTACATAAAACCTAAATTTTATTTCTTCTATCGACTATTGCGTTCTATGTAAAGAGAATATTACGGCTATAAATAAAATCGAACGGAATAACAATTAACAACTATACAAAAATTATCACTTTACAAAATTTAAACTTTACTTTATACAGTGAAACATAATATTAATACCTAATATTCAATACACGACATATTTCTCATTTTTTTTTTGGTGTTTGCCCCGACCCCAATTTAACGATTAATTATGTCATATGGGCAATTTTATAAGCTAAAGCTTGCTGTAGCTTTTTCAATTCGAAAAAACATTCCGGAACTCAAAACATAAATCATCAAAAAAATGTAAAAAAAAGGGTTTTCCAAAATTTTTTTCATAAAAATTATCTCCTGGTAATTACCAACAATTAAAAAAAAATTTGAGCCAAATTAGCCCAGCCGTTCTCAATTGATGAATTGTTATACATTTTTGGCTCCATTTTTATATATTTAGTTAAAGATGATATAAAAAAATTATATATTTTTAAAATTTTACGAGACCCACCAGAATATATAAATATATGGATGGTGATGGTGATCCATAATTTGGGAACCTCTGCTTTATAAATGTATTCACATTTTTTGTAGTTCGAATTTTTGAATTTCCGTTGAAGTAACATACATACTGTATATACATAATATATATACTGTGTAATATTTTATTTAAAGGTTCTTTATATTTTTCCATTCATACAATTAAGGAACTTCACGCAATTATATAGAACCTTACTATAAATATTATTATTTAAATAAAGTTAGATTCATTATTATTAGATAGTTACATAGTAGGTACTAGATGAGTATTTTGCGTACCCATTACTCGATAAACAACCTATGTTATTATACTTATCACTGATTTTTTTTTAAATATGATGAGCACTGAGTAGTTTGGTGTGCCAAAAATTGTTCCAAGGATAAGATCAAACTCTTCTATATAAGACACAAAATATTTTATTTTTTTATTTTTATAAGACATTTTACATAAAACCAATACCTAAATATTTCTGCTACAAACCAAATAAAACTTAAAAGTACAAGAAGGTAGTTCATTAAAAAAAAAAAAACAAAAATGAATTATTATTGAAAGAGAAAGTGAAGTTGAATAATGACTATTCATGTAACAATTTTTTTCTTGTAGATATAAATCCAAAACTCTAATCTAGACTTCAAGATGCTTTTACTTAATTATAAAATAATAAAATAACTAGTAAAAATAATAACTATTAAATTATTATAATATATTTTTTATAATTTCATAAACTTCATTCATTATTCATGAATAGTTACAAATGCAATATATTTGTTCGAAATTGGAATGTATAATACATGCGTAATTTCACATTAAATATGTAGTTCATAAATAGAGTGATTTTCAAAATTGGTAGTTATAAACAGATTAATTTTAATAATTAACATTTAAAATCTCAATAAATTGTTGTGTTTTTATAAAAAAAAATGGTATTTAAATAGTTTGAATTACATTTTTTGCTAATTTTAAGTCTTCATTAATTGTTTTACAGTTTTACTATAAATTAAGAACTTATTTCTATTTTTGAAATAGGTTATACTTTAACTTTTGATTTTCAAACCTTACAACATGGTTAATAGTTAATAGTTTATATATATATATATATTTTTTTTTTATTTCAAATATATATTTGAAATATAAACGCATGTGAAAATCGAATACAGCTACATAAATACTTATTCATCTTAACAATTATTTTGATAATAATAAAAAAAAAAATATATATAATATTAAGTCAGTCTGCTATCTTATATTATAGTTTAATTGTCTTCACTATTTTAACCTCTAGAACGGCGTAACACCATTACACGTAGCAAGTCATTATGACAACCAAGCAGTTGCATTAATGTTGCTTGACAAACAAGCATCACCTCATGCCACAGCAAAGAATGGTCACACGCCTCTTCATATAGCGGCAAAAAAGAATCAGGTAATTTATACGTCTTATGATGAAAAAGTATTATAATGTTTGTATTTATAACTAAATCATTGTTTATATTTATTAGCACTGTTGAAATAATGTATAAGTTTTTATGCATATCATTTTTTATATTGAGTGTGCTATAATTTTTTAGGTATTATAAGACTGAAAATTATGATTTATACTACTATTAGAATTAATTAAAACCTAATTAATTTTATGCAATTTAAAATGTTACGGTTCCTCTTAAATCATGTGCAAACAAATAATTTTTAGTTACATATGAAGTATAGTACAAAGTAAAAACCACTGTCCTTTCTGAAAAGATTTTGACTGTTCTACTTATTTAAATAAATTAATAACATAATGACTGTAAAATTTATTTGGTAAATCGTAATATAAACGTGACATTATCAATCTTTTTACAAAAATATGTTATCATAAAGACTTTTTGTTTAGTAAAACTGCAAAACGTTCCATTTTAGTTTTTATTAAAAAAACGATAAAATTAAAAATGCAATAGTGTAAGTAGTACATAGATTTGTATGTCCACAGCATATATTTAACAAAAATATCTCGTTGGTTTATGCAGGTATTTCCACATGCTCTACCATATAACGCATAAACATAGAATTTTTCAAAAAAGTGTAATGTTCACATACCCAACTGTATTTATTATTTGTGTAACAGACAAATAGTTATGTGTGGAAATATATACACACTTGTGTGATGTGGTGTTCAAGGTAGTGGTCACATAAACTGTTGGAATCATACTTTTAAAAAAATTAAAAAGATTCTGTGAACCTACATTAAAGAAATTCTATGATTATACATTTTGCGGTAGTGCATGTGAAAATGTCCGATTAAACTCATTAGATCTCCCTGTAAAAAAGGTGCTGTGATCAAACAAACGTGTTCTCCAGATTTGGATTTTTAATTGTTTTAATAATATTTAATTTTCATACTTACACAAATTAGTGTTAGGTACTCCTTACGCTAAAAAATATTTTGAAAAAAATTAGTGTACTCTATCCCACTCCGAGACCTCTCCAAAGAGAACTGTAGTTCAGTTACATCATTTAAATAATTCTAAAATATTTAATGTTATTTAATATTTTCTGTTCAAATAATTAAATGCAAAATGTATATTTTATTATTATAAATGATATGTGTTTTAGATGGATATTGCAGTTACATTATTAGACTACGGAGCAAAAGCAAACGCTGAGTCAAAAGCAGGATTTACTCCTCTTCATCTTAGTTCTCAGGAAGGTAATGTTGAGATGACTACTTTACTTTTGAACCACAACGCAGATCCTAATTATAAGTCAAAGGTAATTAATACAGTGCTTGTGAAATCCATGATACCTTTTTCAACGTAAAATATATTTTACAGAACGGTTTAACACCAATGCATCTTACCGCACAAGAAGATAAACATAAAGTAGCTGTTGTATTGGATAATTACCACGCAGACATTAATCCTGAAACTAAAGTAAGAATAAATTGAAGAACCTATCTGATAGGTATTGATTGGTTAATGATCAGCGTGTATTAACATAAAGAATAAAATACAGTTTTAGTAGTTTAAGCAAACCAATAAATAAAAAGTTTTATTTTTTATTTTTAAAGAATTGACATTGTTTTTTTGTTTGTTTTTATAAGTTTAAACAGTCAACTCGTTATTATTTTGTTTAATCACTCAGTATAAGTTTAATAATTGTATAAGTAATACTTTTTACTTAATGTATTTAAATTGTAAGTATTAATATACCTATTTATACAATATTAGGCTGGATTTACTCCTTTGCACGTCGCTTGTCATTTCGGTCAATTAAACATGGTTCGATTCATAACCGCTCGTCAAGGAGTTAATATCAACGCTACTACAGCTTCTGGATACACACCACTTCACCAAGCAGCTCAGCAAGGCCATTCTACCATTGTAAGCCACTTATTGGATAAGGGAGCTGACCCAGATTTATTGACAAGTGTAAGTAAAAATATTATTTTTAACGTTGTGATTAACATGTAGGTAATTTAATTGGTTATAAACTTATAAATCATCAAAGAGTATACTCATTTCTATGAAAATTAGTATAATTAAATATATCTATTTTATAAGAGGGCAATTCTTAATTATTGAAAAGGCCATATTAAAAGTTATAATGTTATTCCAGATTTTCTTAAAGAATTATTTTGAATAAACGAGTAGGTACCTACAAATATTTGGAAAACGAATAAATTAAAATAATGGCTTCAGTTGATTAAGAAATGGCTTATTTAAATATTTCACACCATAAATTCCATAAAAACCTTTTTAACAATGTAGTGCTACATTGACTCGCTTAATCAAAAGGTGCAAGTATGCCAATTACCAAATTATGTTCAATTAAATTCTTGTACATTAGAATTCAATTTCATAAAGTATTATATGTAACGATGTAATTTACATAAAATATAAATACATTGAAATCAATAAAATATACCCATTGGGTTGTTGTGGGATTAATTAGTTTTTATGACTCTTATGCTATTAAAATGTAAGCAAATATTATAGTGAATTGCATTGCATAAATGAGCATAAACAGTATGCACTTGTGAATTCCATTCATGATTATTACGATGTTATGAAAATATAATTTAAATTTAAATACGTAATTATACTACATAATAAATACATCAACTTAAAAAATAATAATATTTATACCATATATTATTAATTTTTACACCAAGTCACAAAATAAGCTTATTTATACTTACCTGATATATTAGTTACGAACAATATCAAACTATCAAAGTAATGCCTGTATAGAAAGACAGTGGTTACTAAATTAGTTAATAAAAGCAGTATTAATTTAATGTAATAATGGTGTTAAACTATAACGAGTCATACAAGTCATAAAATAACAATAAAGCAAAGTTTTGCATTTAATTATTAAACTAATATTTAATTGTCTTGAAAATAATTACACTTTAAAATATTGTATTGTTATTTTATACAGCAAGGACAAACGGCGCTGTCAATTTCTCAGAAATTGGGCTACATAAGTGTAGTGGAGGCTTTGAAGAATGTTACAAAAGCTGCACCTTCATCGACTTCGGACGAAAAGTACAAAGTAATTTCTCCAGAAACCATGCAAGAAACATTTATGTCGGACTCAGAAGATGAAGGTGGTATGTAAAAACAATAATTACAATAATAATATACCTACAATATATAAAATTAAATATATTACCAAGGGAGATCTCAACAGGTTATGTATTATAATTGTATTAACATTTTATAACAATATAATTGACAATGAAATAATTCGATTTCACCGTAGAGAAGTACTGCAAGCGATTAAAAATAATGCTTTTACTTTGAGTAAAGATAAATATCATACATACATAATATATTTGTATTATATATCATATTACACATCAATGTATCAAATATAAACCATATGAGTAAAGGAATGCCTCAAACATGTGAACTGACATTCCGTGTCAGGAATAATTTTTAGATTAAAATGTTAAATAATATTAATGTGTCAATTGTCAAAGTGATGGACACTATTTTTCTCGTAACACCGTTATATTAAGTATAACATATACATTATATTCATATACATAGGTTCTAATAAATATTGTCTAATATTTATATTATATTTGATACTAATGTCAAGCGTAAATAGTTTCCCAAAGAATTTAACGAATAATTATTAAACCCAAATATAATATTTATTTAATTAATTAATATTTCCTTTATACGTTATGAAGAAAGTCAATACACAAATATTGCTATCATTTTTAAGTGAAATATAAGTAGGTAGGTAGATAAAAAAACAAATAAAGTTATTAATTTCAACGAAAATACACTAACATAATAATACATTATGCAGGTACCTCACGCCACATCACTAAATCATAAAATAGGTAATAATAACAATCAACAACAAATAGATAAGCTAAAATCTAATATATGTAGGTACGAGCGCAATATTCATTTCAGTTATCGATTTAAGATAATGTTATCGATTATTTAATATATTATTGTAACTCAGATGTTGATCAAGTTAAAAAATATTTTTAAATTAATATTTCTCTCAATCGCAGTATCAGTTATTATTTTATTTTCTACCTGTTAGGTAAGGTAAGGTTATGGTTTACTATTTTGCTGCTTAAGAAAAATATAAGAAATATGCATCATTTAAAGAGAAATATTATAAATAAATCATACTACCATCCAATATAATAAAAAATTATAAGTAGGTAGTAGGTACCTAGATCATACATAACATATTAATATTGGTATATTAAATTGAATAATAAGACCAATACATTAATAGGTACATTTAAAATAACAAATAATGTATGTATTTCATCAAGGTTAGATATATTAGATGAAAATATATTATCAATAAAAACATAAAAATCAAACAAACTATGTACTATCATGAATTTCAATAACTTTTTAATTTAATGATATTTTACCCATAAAATATAATTCGTATCTATCTGTTACATGGATTTTTTTCTGATTTATATTTTCTTAAAGCTATACGCACCTATTAATAATCATAATAATCAATTATATGTAATATCTATTTGTAAAATAAGTGATTTTATACGTGAGTTTTGATTTGATATTTTCAATGGTTATTATAAGAATAAAGGGAAAAAAAGAAATTATATGTCAAAATAGGCCATAGGCGCAACTTGAACCATGGTTTATTGGGGGTGGGGAACTACAGCCCCGATCAAAATATAATATGTGTACTGGCGAACATGGTTTGTCGTTAATACATTTTTCGCAACGAACATTTCCGCCTCCGAGCTATTAATATCAGTTTGAAAGAAATTTTAAAATAGAACGACAGTACGAAATATAAAATACTAAGTCTATATGATATTAATAATAATAGTAATTTATAGTTTTATTATGATGTTTTGAATAAACAAAACTGTTCTCAATAAATAAGTTTTTACGGCTTTGTAAATGTAAATAAGAAAGGAAAAAGATTCACTATTTCTAAGGGCTTAGCCCTTTGAGACTCACCCCCGCCGTCGCCCCCTAGTTGCGCCACTGGCTACAGCACAATACAATATTAGAAAGTGTGCGCCCGCTTCCTTATATAGTGTTGCGCGAGCGTGGTTTCACTAACAAATGCTTGTAGTATGTGATTGGGATGATGATTGGCACACAGGTGACGTTTTGCAAAGCGGAAGCGTCGAGTATGGTCTCAACACTAGAGCTCAACTAACACAAAATGTTATCGTTTCGTCACGTGAGTTTTGTATAGTAGAAAAAAAAATAATAAACAAACAAAATTTGGACCTATGGTATATTAGTCAACATGCATGAATTAATAGCCAAGTTCAAAATTCACGATTGGCCGTCACCCAACAGCCACTAGACAGTCACGGTCCATTCGGAATATATTGAACTCGGGTCGTGCAGAAAACGAAATCGTTTCTCGCGACCTACTACCCGGGTAACCCGCGGCGTCAGTATATTGTGAACAGGATTCACACATAGACTTACCATCAGTGTGCTTCCATCATCATCAAAGCTATTATGTAGTGTTGAAGAACAAACGATAACATTTGCCCGGCGTAGAACCATAGCTTTTCCGTTGAATGACCATATACATATAGCATGCGAGTAGTGGTAGTGAGTAGTACCTACCCATACCTGTATACGCGCACCTATACAATACGATTTGTTATCATTTTATTTTTAAAATCCATATACGGTTTGTAGAACATTTTTCTTTTTTAGATCCATCATAAAAAAATATGACATTGCACTGAATGGATTTAAGTGCCATTAATATTGTATGTCATTACTATATATTGAGCGTCGAGTGTCGACCGAGATATTATAATTATAATATGCATAAATGTCGATCGTTCCAGTTTTCCCGAGTAGTACTTGTAGCGTCCGTTTAAAATTAAATATGACCGGCCATCTGGTCAGTTAACTTACTGCTGTTTGGCACTTTGCCGGTCGTTTCGTCATTGGCTTTCCTCATTTCGGATTTTTCGCGCTTTGGCTTCACCAGCATCATAATAATGGATCAACTTTAGAGAGGAAAAAATTGATAAAAATAACTTTTAAGTTTTAGTTGTCGGCTGTCTGCCTATTCCGACGGTACCATAACTAGGTCGCTGTATTCGTCTAACTTAAATTTTTCAAATTAATCATAAAATAATAACAATAAATAAGAAAAAATACAAAAAAATAATTTTTCATCATGTGTAAACGGAGGTTTTGCTGTTGTTGCTGTTTTAAAAAACAAAAAGAAGAAGAAAATCTTCCAGGTTAGAAAAACAAGTATTTACATTTTATGATTTTTGAAATTCATTATCGAATGAATAAAGAAAACTTTTACATTATTTCCATCTACATAATATAGTCATATTTGTATTGACTCAATGTATAATACTCAATATTATGCACTTCATTTTGAAACCAACATATTTTAATTTTACACACAAAAACAATAGGTATGTAGGTAACTTATAAGTACAAGCTTAAGTTTTTTATACACCCATCTCAATAATAGAATTTTATATAGTCAAACGAATAATATACGTGACGTTTGATAAGATTTTTTAAATTTAATTTATGCGTCTGTCTCAGGTTTCTGCAATAATGAATTAATTTATTCCATAGGTATCTACATAGGTATTTGTTGAAGAGACGCTTAATTCTCACTGTGTAGATGAAAACTTCTTTACTAATACTATTACTTTTTTTCTATTCGTTAGGTATTTTAGAACTGTTATCTCAACTATAACTGTGTTATCATAGAACCAAAATGATGAATAGAAGTTAAAAATAATAATAGTTTAAATTATTACTGATTATGATTTTCAATATGATTATTTAATTTGAATTTTAATATACAATATAGTAATAGTAACGAAATATCGCGTTAGAACAGAATGTAAAAAATCTTAATTTTAAAAATTTTAAAAACCAATGAAATTGTGTTGGATTAACTGTATTAATATATTGTACAGTGAATCATATTTTCGTGCATAATTAACCCCATTGTTTTCTGTAAAATAATTTAAAAATAAAGTTCAGGCCGCCGTATATCATTTCATCTGCTTGCTTATTCTTGGAAATTATTCAAATCTAATACTGTGTTGCCCGTTTTTGTTAAACAATACGAGATAATATTAAATAATATGTAATATGAAACAATCATTATTTCATGGGCAGTCAAAGCATGTATTCATTCTCAAAAGCATGTGCTTTTATAATTATTGTAAACTTAACATTTTAAGGCACACTTATTTTGATTTATAGAAACGTTAGATTATTTATTTTATTTTGTTCCGTTCTCAACAGCTATCGATTTATATTGTAATTTAAAACTAATTTAATTGAACAGGCGAGGAGACCATGATAAACGAACAGTCATACAGGTATTTAACGGGAGAGGAAATGAAGGGTTTCGGCGACGAATCAGCTCCCATTGATGTCACACGGGACGAGAGGTGCGACGCGAATACTGGTAAGGAAAACATGAATGCATACTGTATAGGTATATCATCATATGTGGCCATATGGGTAAACCTACCGTGTTAGATGTGCAAAAGTTGGCCACGGTACACGCGTGTGACACATTTTATTAAAATTATCTTGTTTACATTTCAGTGCCCCCCACATCCATCGACGAAGCCATCAGTCCACAGACCGTCTATGACAGTTACAGCGGCCCCGTGGATAACGTTGACATTGTTAAATATCCACCTCACGTTGGGTAAGTAGACCGGAAATACATCTTTTCTCTACCGCTTAAACGGCTAACAAAAATATCGTCAATTGTCTAACAAAATTGTTTATTGTTTCAAAATGCGTGCTTACGGACAGACGTTTACAATGGAAAACGTAAGGCTTTTAATATACATATATATATATAATAATATTTACCGTGCAATGTTTTCACGACCATACGTAGATTTCTATGCCAGTAGTGATATATTTTTAATGGTTTTAATAAATATGTCATAGATGTAGTGGAGCATTTTAGTTAAATAAAGCAATTCTTAATAATATAGTCTTAGATATAACTGGCATTTACAATAACATAGAAAAATCCATTATAATCAAAACTGGAGAACGACTTTAATAATATTCTACCGACTATAGTGTTGTACATCGTCCGATGAATCAGTCGCTGCACACCAGTGGTGCAACCAGAATTTATTCAATAGAGGGAGGATCCAAAAAAAAAAAATGTAATTAGTGTCTGTTTCTTTCCTGACTATACCTATATATACATTTTATTGCTAAATAAACACAATTATTTATCATATAAGATACCAATAAGTTCCGGGTCCCGCCCCCTTGGTTGCACCACTGCTGCACGCTCATCATGCTGAATGGTCGTCGATGTTGTTCGGCACTAGTTTTTGTTTTTTATTATTGTGTATAGTAGTTCAAAAGGAAAAATCATTTCGCACCCATAACTAATCGTTTGAAATCGTTACAGGTTTTTGGTGAGCTTCTTGGTGGACGCTCGCGGCGGAGCGATGCGCGGATGCCGGCACAGTGGTGTCCGCGTGATCGTACCACCCCGACGAGCATCCATGCCCACGCGGGTGACTTGCCGATATTTAAGACGTGAAAAATTGGTGCACCCGCCCCCGCTGATGGAAGGCGAATCGTTGGCCAGCAGAATACTCGAACTCGGTCCCGTGGGGGCTAAGTTTTTGGGGTAACTACATCGTAATACGATGATACGGTGTTATATTATGGATATAATATAATCCGAGCAACCTCGGATGGTACTTAATGATTCCAATATTGCTTATCGTTTGCAGGCCCGTTATGATCGAAGTACCGAATTTCGGATCACTCCGTGGATCTGAAAGAGAAATCGTCGTTCTCAGGTCGGAAAATGGCGAGACGTGGAGAGAGCACACGGTTGAAGTGACCGACGAAGTCGTCAAGGACATACTCGGAGCGAATTTCGACAAAGAAGGTATCTATAATTCTTAAGTATAAAAATAAAAATAATAATAAAAACTAAACGTGACAACTATATCATATGTATAACTAAAGATACACCGCTGTTGTCTCAACAATACAAATGTTTAAATACTAAAAATTAAAACTTAAGATTCTTAAACTTTCGTATAACGTGAACGTTTTGAAAGAAAGCTAACATTTCCATCCCGTAAAGTCTTATTATCCAATACAGTAAAAAAAAAAATAGTCCTCGAAATACCTCCTTCCCCTCCATATAGGTAACTATGTGACACACTACAGAAGGCTTGAATAAATTTAAATGAAAAATTAATATTGCTTAGTTTTGCTGATACATTTTAGAACTATTTTACGCTTCGAACGAAATTATTAATTCACTTTAGTAATGGTTAATGAATAATGATGGATCGCGTTTGTTTTTTCAGACCGCGACCCTTGGCATTCCGGTAACCGTCTGACGCGGATCGTGACGACGGAGTTTCCGCATTACTTTGCCATCGTGTCCAGAGTCAAGCAAGAGGTACACGCCATCGGGCCGGAGGGTGGCATGGTCTCGTCGACGGTGGTGCCACAAGTGCAAGCGGTATTCCCGCAGGGAGCGCTGACCAAGCGCATTAAAGTCGGCCTACAGGTAAACTTGTTTAAACCGCGAAGAAATGTGGCCAGCACGTGCCTAAAGAAAATCTCCGTTAACCATGTGCCGAAAAAAAAACGGTTCTCGTTAATGTGGTGAACGGCACCCCTGACACGATCATATTTCGGTGGCGGTGGTGGTTGTGTCTCGTCTTGAAAAAAAAAAAATGAAAAACGAGCAATTTACACAAGACTTGACATTTTTTTTTTTACCCAACGCTTCAAACACACTCACATATTGCGCATAACACATTAATAAAAAAAAAAAAACATTGCGATTTATTGATGTTATTTTTATTTTTATTATTTATTTTTTTTAATTTAATGATACTATTGATTTAAAGATACTATACACACTTCAAACGTTTCTACTGTGTCTAGTCACTAACTATTATAATATCCACATCGATATTCGATAACGAATCTAGTCTTCCCCGCCTAGTCGATCTTGTTTAAGTCGTTATACTTATATTTTCCAAAGTATTTAACGTTATTTACTATATTTATAATCCAAATTCGATAGAACACGAACCCACTTTACAATCGAATTATTAAAGTAGATAATATATAAATATAATATACATTCTATTATAATTAATAAATATCGATTTTTTTTAAACTAATAAATTATTTTAATAAATTTTAAAAAAATCAATATTTTACTATTTATTCTAAGAACTATTTTATGTTCTATAAGTGTTTGTTCTTGAAATATTTAAATTCTATACAATAAAGTTCAGTTTTTGACGGCACAGTTGGTTTAGTGCCAAGAGCTTCCTTACATTTTAACGCGGCTGAAGAGTATATTGTACAGTTACTAAACATCCTATTTGTGTACTCATAATATTATGAAATATTTTTTTTTCATCAAAATTGTAAATGTATTTTTTTAAATTAAGTTATAGCTTATAATATCATTTCACTCACACAGATATTGTATACGATTAGCACGACTTTATTATTATTATTATTTTAATGTTTTATTTATCATTTAAAAAAAAAAAAATATTTAATTTTAAATGCCCAATAAATATAGTATAAATAATTTTTTTATCAAACTAACATGTTTTTGTCATTTCAATTTGTTTCGAGCTCAGATAGTTTTATTTTTACATAAAGAAAAAAATATATACATCATGGTCAAACATAATGTAATACAATTTAATCGTCATGTACGTGAAATGTAGCCAGTATACTCATGTTCATGAGTATATTTCTATTTCAGTACATTTAAAATTGTTTTGTGTCAGATAAAACTATAAGAGTTCAAACCTCATAATCTCAGCTCAGTCCTTTTGTCTTGTTAATCATTCCAACTAACCGAATATTATATGAAAATACGAAATTATATAATAACATATGTCTATAGAATATATTATAGAAAAATAACTAATCGCTATAATCAAAAAGCTACTATTTATTGGGCCATCATTTTGTTTTATTTTGTTTTATAGTTTTTTTTTTTTTTACATTTTTTAATAATTTTTTTGTTTTTTACCTAGAGCGTGTAATATTTTACATACGATTTTTTTTTTTTTTATTGTTTTGCTTAACCGTCATATTATAATATTCTGCTTTTGGACACACCGCTTGTGAACACGATTTGCTAACTCACGAAAACGACCGACCACACCTATACCGACTACACTGCGACGAGCTCACGCGGGCACACGTCCATCACCACCCAGGCGCTATAGCTGACGTTATGTTTGTTGACATCACGACTGCAGTTGTACGACATATTGTTATACCTACACGATTATCGTTTTATTTATTTATTTGATTATTATTTTTTTATGTTTTGTGATGGCCCTTGGTAAAACAGTACCTACATAGTCGTAATAATATTATAGACATCGATATTGACGATATTATAGTGCTGTAGTATCTATAGCAATTTGCGTATTCGGCTATGGCACAGCTCGTCAGTAAATATTAAAAACCAGTGGTTGAACACCGAGCAACACATATATTGACACATCGCACTCTCTGATTTCTTAGGAATTCCAGATTAAAAAAGAAAGTAGAAATGTAGGACATATTTATTAAGTTTTTAATATACAACAATTTTCTGTTTTAACATAATTATTTACCAATAGGAAACAATACTTGATATCATGTTTGGATTTATTTCGTATTTAATAGTTATAAAAACATTTATAAGTTTTTTATAACTATTATAACTACTATTTAGAGTATATACTATGCAATATTCAAGTTGTTATCAAGATAACTTTCCTCGTAAAAATGTTAGAATCACAATAAATTTAATGAAATATAATTCACCGTTTAACGCGTAACATAATATTATAATATCAGCTGTCTTAACTACAGCGTTGTAGTGTTGTACCTAAGTGTAAATTAGTATTTTTAGTTTACAATATCGTCAATATCATATGATAACAAAACTATGGTAATATAATATTACTGTAATATATGTTCACATTCACAACGAATTTTAAATTTGAAACGGTTCAAATGTTTGTACTGTTTCACATTTAAGTAAATAAAACCCTATACCTATCGATTGATAAGTGTTAGAATAAAAAAATGTCTTAGGCGTAGGTATCTAACTAACAAAAAATCAGTCCCGCAGACCGCAGTGATTACAGATTACATTCATTTTCGGTTAATTCACCTATAACTATATACAGGGAAACTTCCATATTATTACGAAGTCTCACGATGGGCAACGAAAAAAAAATCGTTCTATAGATAAATTCGTTGAGTAGAACTAATTAAATTTGGTTCTAATTTAGTTTAGTTCTCAAAAATATTTCGTTAGACAGAAGGTTCTGTTGAGCGGAAGTTAGGATTCATCACCGTACGTATTACCCCCCAGATAGTAGATCGGTCCATTTCGGTTGAATATTTTTGATCGTCTTCATCGCGTCTCGATGTAACAATATTATTATACAAAACGAAACGAAATCATAGATCGGACTAATAGAATACGAACGCGCGATTATATTAGCGCCGACGGCTTCCGAAAACGCCGCTCGTCAGTATTTTTATTTTTTAGGCGTCCCCTCGGTGTGATGTCCGATGACGGTCGGCGACCGACGCGCTAATATTAGCAACATTTATCCATGAAATAACCCTATACGGTCAAACTGTACACGCCTCGCCGCTGTGTTTTTTGTCAAGTCCAAAGAATCGCGTTACGAGCAATCGCTTGCACGTGTCATCCTCGGTACACGTACGTACTGCGACGGCGACACACACATTGTGTGCGAGGTCGATCTCAAATCCCACGTGACACGTGTTGTTTTTTTTATAGCAGACGCGTGTCGTGTATGACGGACACGGGAAGCGATTTTAGATTCGGTATAAGGAGGGACGGGACGAATGACGTATTGTTACAATGATTTTATTTTTTTTTTGGTGTTGTGTCTGAAGACGCTTTTTTTCTGATAGAAAATATGCTCCGACCGTCAACTTTGAGGGAGGGTTTTCTAGTAGTGAATTGGATCTAGTCTCTACTAAGTGAGCCAAAAGTAGAAATTTCTAAGTACTCATTAAAATAATCGGAAAAAACAACAAAGTCGTCAAGTATAGGTAGACGCTATGTTGTACAGTTGTTAGTGTTCAGTGTGCCTCGTCATTGGGTTGGCATCATAATGGTTATATTAAGTTTGACTTCGGTGATAAATCATTGTTTACGACTACGGAAAATGAACCTGAGCCAAAACGGTCCCGACTTTTTTAACTTAGATTACCAAACATTACATTTTAAAAATTTAAAAATTAATTCAAAAAATTACAGAGAATTTTCAATTTTAACCTTCCGAAATTACCAACTAGATTCAATTTTCTATAAGAAACCTCCACCGAAATTGATGATCAGATCATCTTTTCTAATTGAAAAACTGTCTCCAAACACAAATATAAAAATTTAAACATACGTCATTAAAAAATTAATACAAAATGTATTTAAATAATAATATTAAAATGTTAATAAATAACACGAACATTTATTTAAATTTTAACATCATTATTGAAATATTCCGAAACCATGGCTACCATTCCGTCTCCGCTCAGAATTGCTTCCCGTATTGCCATACGTATAAATATCATTGAATTCAAATTTAACGACATACATTACTATAGTGACCCAATCAATGTCAAAGCACACTCGACTTGGCTGACCTTTTTGATCAATTTATTTTCACTATTTCCAAAGGATTGAACACCTGGCGCCTCTTCTCTCCCCCCCGTCACAGATTCTATTAATATTATGCCATTAGATTTTTTTCGGCCTGTCAAAAGTAACAAATTAAAAAACCTGCAAGACATGCAGACTGGAGTAGATAGGTACCGAAGTTATGGTGATGACGGTCTGTCTCTGTCGTCCTACTGCAGAAATATAATTATATTATATTATTTTACATAGATACCTACTATCTGTGCACAAAATTATTATAAATTGTATAAGTGTTCCTTTGCTGCTAACTCGTTTTGACCACAGAGGATTTATTCGTAGACACTACGCAGGTACATACCTATGCGAAAACGGTAGGTATACACAACATTTGTTACATAATATTATACACGATACGGCGTAATAAGTGTAATATCATATTATAACGATGACACAAGTACGTAGGTATAACGATTCGCGTGCTCCACGCACTGGTGACCGTAGGGCGAGAATATTATTAAAGACGTAATTGTTTCAGTGGTTTTGATCAGAAGAACCGCGGTGACTGCCGAGTAGTGTATACTGTATACTACACGTTGTCATTAAACAAACGAATTAATTAATATCAAAAATAAATACACATAACTCATTTCAAATTATATCATATATAAATATGACCATTGATCCCACTATAACCGAAAATCTACTGATGATGCGTCGATTGTCGTGCAAATACTTAAAAATTAAATAGTAAATTAAGAGTAAATAGGTACCCATAATACATTAATAATTGCAAACAGCAAAACGATAATCCAAAAACGCTATACAGTGCAGTGTACCTTCCTTTCAAAAGATAACACGAAATATTTCTGTCCGGTGTTGAAACAGGGTTTGTTGGAAAACAACACATTTTTAAACTACTTTCAAATGTCAATCCATTTCATTGTGCTGAGAGAGAGAGAGCAATACGAATAGCACTTTTTTAAATGGCAACATAATTAATTTATTATCAACATCGGCTTTAGATAAATTAATTTTTTTTAAAGTAATTTTGATCTTTTGGCCAAAATATTGAGTTTAAAACGTTTAAGTTAAACATATCCGAAGCCGTGTAGAAATTTGAGAAAATTAATAGGACGATAAGTGAGAAATTTAATAATTTAGTCATTTAAACTGTAATATTAACTCATTGTAATTCATTCGATTTTGGATTTAAAACAAAAAAATTCGGTCTTTTCAAATTTAGTGTTGAATATACTTGTTATCATGAAAAAAATTTTAAAAGTTTAATCGCGCATGTTCAAAATAAAAGGGCTAAAAATTTGAAAGTAGTCAAAAAATATGTGGAAAATCACTGAACATAATTATTTTTTTCATGTTATCTTCAAAAGGAAACACACTGTATTTAAGCTACAAAAAAAAAGTTTGCTGAAATACTAATAACAAAATTAACGTTTTTGGTGCTATGGTTTATTAATGTTTGAGATCTTGAACATTATTAAAGTATTTGATACGAATGACTAAGGCTAGGTACTATGAATTAGATATAATAGTTGGTTTTTAATAATATGTGTTAGAACTTTAAAAATTATCCTGCCCTAAATTTTAATCAGCCTACTTGAGCATATGTATCTAATAATTATAATTCATATAGTATCATATAGTATCAAACACAGATTTTGGATTCACTGAAACTTTTTTGAAAAATGGTTAGTGTTTAGTAACTAGTAAGTATGTACTGGAGTGATTGGACAACGGACTCTGTTAATCGTTAGGTCGAATGCGATGGCGTTCTATACTTCCGTTGTTTAAAATTTAAAGATAGATATTCATCTTATTGGCTCGATAAAAAATATCAGAATAAGCAGAACCAGTCTTTAATGTAAAATTAAAAAAAAAAACAAAAATAATTCCATCGACCTAAAACAATTGGCTAATTTTTCATCAACAAATGAAAATATGCAAATGCGTCGAATCATCTGCGAAATACGAAACAACCAAATAATGTCTGTACCTACTAATTACTATTTATTCAAATCACATAAAATAATATTATATTATATTACATTACTACATAATATCAAAAATTAAATTAAATATGTAAAACTCGTAGAAATAAGTATCGACTTGGCATAATTGTATGATAATTACTTATGATAAAAAATATAATGAAATCGTTAAAAAAATTATAGACTAAGTATTAGAGGGCCTAGCAATATTCGGTCCATAATCCCGTATACCATGGTATAACCGTTGTAAGTTTGTATACTTTTTAGTATACGTATGAATTAATAAAGCAAGTTCGTTATAATCATGTAAATGGTAAATAAATTCGACTAAATTGACCACTCATTAATTATACAATTTTTTTTAAGGTTTTATTACACACAGTGTCGGAATTTGAGTAACTGAAACTATGGTATACATAATGAAATCAAAAACAAAAAATTAGGGCCTACATTGACAGAAAAAGATTATGTAGCGAGTTTAAATTTTTTGTAAGATTTCATAGTTTCAAAAATGTTACTGGATGGCTGTATTTGTTTTTTGATGAAAAATAGAGTGTGTGAAGGTATATGATCGTCCAAATAATATCCAAGTAAAAATAATTAAAAATAACTTGCTCATTCATTAGTATGGTGTTTAAAGTTAGTACTGTATATTTTATCGTTAATTTGTTGTACATTTTGTTAATGTAACAAAATAAATTAATGCTCACTTTTATTTGATTTATATAACATTACATAGTATAATATGTAATCGAACGTGTCCCACCTAACTGATCAACGTAGAGCCTAAATCACGAGAGGTAGACTTGAAATTGTTATGGTACTTTCGTCACCACCATAAAAAGGTATGCACTAAGATAGGATTTTCCAAAATTTACATTTTGAAGGGGTGCTCAAACAAAGATTTTGAGATTTACAGTGGAAAACACTCTTTTTTACCCTTTTCACTCCCAACTTTTTTGTTTATTAAATGGTTGCCATTGGTTACGACTTACAGATATAATAGTAATAATAGAAATTAGTTGTTAAATTGGTATTTATTTTTACGTATATATGAATGGTTGCCATTGGTTACTCCGGCAGATGAGGTAAGATCATCAAATCGCCATGTTTAAGCCCCGAATAAAGAAATTATGTATTAAAATAAATATGAGAGTTTCCTTATGAAATAATTCTTCTATAATATTATATAAATTATATATTTTGACGACAATTTCAGAGATGGTTTTATAGAGTTATCAGGAAAGTTTAGAAAGTATATAGTTTGAACAAAGTCCGGAATAAAGATCTAATAAGTGCTATAATATCTGAGCTTAGGTACACAAAAACTTATGTATAAAGCTGTAATTTTTTTGGGCTATTCATTTTTTCTTGGCAAAATCTAGTTTTACAGTTAGTAGAGTAATAAAGGTAATACAAAAATAATATAAATAATGAAAACAATTTGAAAAAAACATTGATCTAGTATATTGATGATTGAGTAAAAAATAAATTTTAATCAGGTGATTTACTTACATTTTTATTGCGATTGGTTATGATGAATTATTGATTGGAATGGTCAAATGTGTACAGCCGTTTGAGATCCATTGTAGGTAACCAATTTCTTATAATTCATTATTGTTTTTGGTCGTTAACTTGATATAATTTTATTCTATGTAAGTAAATAATCGAAGTACAATAAACAGTTTATATTCTTCAGTAAGCAGGAAATTGTTTGTTATTATTGAAATAAGAAAATATTTCATGAATAATACTTTTCACGTCAATTTTTGTTACCGAATTTGTTAATAATTAGTAATTATTGCATGTTCTTATTTAAAAACAATGATCCCAAATATTTTAATTTAAAATTCAAATCATTTTTAATTCTCATACCGATTATTATTTTTTATCTTCGAAAATAAATTAATAGTGTCCTCAGAGTTTCGTCGTAAAGTAGAGCATTTTTAAAAATCATTATTAAAAAAGTCAAAACGATATTTTTATGGGCAACATATTACTTATTAGGTACGTGTCCTAAAAAGTTGGTCTCGATAAGAGTTCTAGGAGTAAACGAATCTCTGCTCAAAGTTCAAACGCATTTTCCCTTCTCAACGAACGGTTTTTAATAATAATATAACTTCGCCAGTGGGCGGAAAGTCGGTACACTCGCTTTTTGCGAGTACACAACAATAACAATAACAGTTTAACACTAAACTCGCAATCGGGAAAAACAATTTTAATAAGTCGTGAGAGGATTTTTTGAGACACAGCACATACGTGCTGGAACCATTCAGTTGTTTACGTAGGTACACAATCAGAGGCGTTGATCGGAAACGCACAAATGTCTGTCATTCACCACTCCCAACCCGGCTGCCAAATCGTGGGTTTTCAATTAAAATTACATTAATAAACGATAAAGTACGACTATTTCTGAATTTTATAAGAGAATAAAACAAAATTCTTCTTGCTTTTTATATGGATGCGTATCACTTAGTTTTTCGACTATAGCTATGCTTATTGATTTAACAGACATAACAAGTCACCGCATATTCGGGCGGTTTAAAAAATATTACTAGACAACATAAGTCACCACTCAGTGGTGGATTTAAGGGGACCTCCAACGGTCCATTTAGCTGTGTTAGCATATAGCATATAGCATGATATTATTAAATGATATAGTTGTGACGTAAAACTTATGAGTTACCTATGAGTAACAAAATTTAATACATATGTGTAACTTAAAAGCGAATTTTTAGGTTTCCGAATCATATTAGTTTTAATACAAAATGAATAACTACTTTGTATTCAGTATCTCTAAGTCCACCGGTAGTGTAAAATCTGATCTTATAGTCAATTAGACCGACGTGACAAGGAAAATGTGCCCCCGACCCCGCCCTCTGCCAGAAAAAAACCTAGATCTATCATTGTCACAAGTACTCATCACAATAATAATATAGACTATTTTAAAACTTATTTATTGCCTTCGAACACACGCTACCGTGTAGAACGTAATCGACCAGCTATAGTGCCTTGAATAATCTCACACAATCTGCACCCTCGGGCGAAACACAACTTCCCCCATTTTTGGCGCTTCTACTTGTACAGATACGGTAACGCAGCTGAGCTTCTTTATAATATGATATTTTTGACCACAGGCCCAACCGATACCGTCCGAGCTGACGGCGAAACTGCTGGGAAACCGAGTGGCTGTGTCACCAATCGTCACCGTCGAACCGAGAAGGCGAAAGTTCCACAAGCCCATCACGCTCACGTTACCCCTGCCCCAGGCCTCTTCCAAGGGGATGATCAACCACTACTCTGGCGATGCGCCCACCCTCAGACTTTTGTGCAGCATCACAGGTGAGCAAAAATCATTTTAAATAGGTGACCAACTAACGTGGTTCTCTCTCTCTCTCTCTCTCTCTCTCTCTCTCTTTCTCTCTCTCTCTTTTTCATTTACACACGATATATTTCGACGACCAAACACGGTGCAACTCTGAACCATAACAGTTATGTTAGGTCACAATTTTAATTAAATTAATTAAAAAAAAAAAACCAGACATTGCATAAGTTTTTTGAGTAATTTGATCAATTACATGATATTTTCAATTACGAAATTAATTCACTAACATTACTCCTTTTCATTACCAATATCTTTTAAGGTAAAATATTATTTATTACTTATTAGTCTACAATTTTACATAATACGTTGGGCTGCAGTGCGTGTATTTTCTTTTATGTCTCCACATTTTAAATCGATATCAATTTCTTATTATTTAATTCTTCCTACTTGCCACTAAACTTCCCATCGTATATTATCATCTTTAAATATTTTTGGTCGTCAAATATATTATTCTCTCCGTCGTGCTCCCATCTGTATTATGGTGGTACGACACTATTAAAACGTTATATCAGTTAATAAAAAAAAAAATTGACTTGTTTTATTTTTTACATAACTTTTTTTTTACAAAAACAACTTTGTTTGAATTTTTCGATTAAAACCGTTTTTATTTTTGGCTCTCACTGTTGCGTAACACAATACTGCACTGTTTTGACAGGGTTGTTTCGGAAAAGATCTCGCAAAGGTAAAGACTTACAGAAATCAAATAAATAATAAGAAATGATTTCACTTGATCTTTTTTTTTCTTAATGTCACCCTCGTTTATTTTGTTTATTTCTTCAAGCTGACGCTATTTTATTATTATTATTATTATTATTATTGTTATTATTAAATAAAAAATCTATTTAACTCGAGTGTTTTTGATCACGGTAATTTTTTTCATACCATTTGGTTACCTATAAATTTAGACACATAATCGGCATATTATTTACTTTTATATTTAATCACACCTATTTTAACGTTGACAGCCGTAGTGGGCACGTGTTTTGTATTTTATTTTTTCATTATTTTCTTTATTTTTTTTTTTTTTTACACAACTATTTTGGATACGATTTATTTGATGAATTTTTTTAAAAAAACTTCTTTTATAAAATATATTATGTTTAAAAAAAATGTAAAAAGAATTTCCATGTTTGATTATTAATTATTTTTAAGAAACGTGATCTTTTCTGAAACAAAATTATTAATTTAAGCTTAAACGAATAAACAAATAAAACAACACTAGTTTTTGCTTTGCTTAAAAACTTGTAGTTCCAAGTTCGCTTTGTATATGATGTGGAATGACGATTTATGTGTGGTAGAAATATTGGCTTTTGTGGACCTCACCCGAGTTACTTCATTATTTCTGTGACATCTAACTTCTCTTTTACTGAATTTCAAAAATCATTTTTCACTATATACAATGAAAATATTCGAGTGTTTGATATTTTTTATCACGTGCGTACATATTGCTATTATAGGAGGAACGTCCAGAGCACAATGGGAGGACGTCACGGGCTCGACGCCTCTTACATTTATCAACGATTGCGTATCGTTCACGACAACTGTGTCGGCGCGATTTTGGCTGATGGATTGCCGAAACGTGGCGGACGCTTCGAAAATGGCCACCGAACTATATCGGGAGGCCATACATGTACCGTTTATGGCCAAGTAATTGAAATTGTTTTGTTTTTGGGGTGGATGGTGTAATAACTTTGTTTATAACGATCCCTTACCTGTATTTTTTAAATTTTATTTCAGATTCGTGGTGTTTGCTAAACGAACGGACACAAATGAAGCTCGAATACGGTTGTTCTGCATGACGGACGATAGGGAAGACAAGACCTTGGAACACAAAGAGCATTTCACAGAAGTCTCAAACAGTAGAGATGTCGAGGTACGTTGTGTTTAATATTATAAATGACAGTTTCGCTATAGATCGTTGAGGTTCACAGATTGAAAAAATAACTTACATCAATATTATATATTTTTTAGAACATTTTTTACTTGGTTTCCGTGGATTAACTTAGGCAAATGTCGTGCCATGACCATGGCGACGCTAATCCCATATTCTACCCTAGTAGTTAGTATAACTCTTAATGGTATTTTTATAAAGCGAATTTTCCCATACAAAGATATCAGAATTCACCTTCTCCCTCAATGAACATTTTAATCACATTTTAATCACCGCAAATAATTAGCACTCAAAGTCTTAGGTTTTATTAAACGCAACACTAAAATGACTACTTCCATTTGAATTGACTGCGTAGGTACCTATTAACTATACCTTACTTTGTTGGGTACATTATCTTGGATGGACATATATTATTATACCGGATATTGTCTCATTATTTAACATAGATAATACTCGGTACCTAACTGACGTGAGTTGTTTTTTTTTTAACGTAGGTTCTGGAAGGCAAGCCTGTGTACATTGAATTCGCAGGAAACCTCGTGCCAGTCACCAAGTCCGGCGAACAGCTCAGATTGGTAGTGCGGGCGTTCAAAGAAAACAGATTACCATTCACCATGCGTGTGAAAGACCCCAGTGCTGAACCACGCTCGTGGACCATCGTAATGAAAGAACCAAAAGTATACAATTTTCTCCAGAGAATAAATTAATCAAGTTGCTTATGATAAAAATAATTTACGTGCGTCCTTTTGCACAGGTTTCTAAAAACGAACCCGCACAGACGCCAGTTTGCGTTTTGCAATTCGGATTGCCCGAAAACATTGTACACGATTCAGATGTCAACGCCGATGAACATTATAATGATTACACGTACACCCGCGATTCGAGTAAATATTTATATTAATACATTGTTTTTACAAGAGTTATTAACTACATTGCTTTAATATAAATGTTGTCCTTGTATTTTAGACACCGAGTCACACAAACGTGCCGAACTGAGGATAACCGATATCAGTAACTTTGTGTCTGAAGATTGGATTAACCTGGCACACGAATTGGGTTTCCAATCATCAGATATTTCTCAAATTCAGAGAGAATACCCAGATAGTAGCGGTCAACAGTGTATGAGTATGCTGAACTTGTGGATGAACGAAATATCTGGTCAAGATTCAGGTACTATATAATATTATATGCTAACTACAATTACAAAAGAAATATATTTCTCATTATATATTCGTATACTATAAAATTAATATATTACATTTTTAGACTTGAGATTTTAGCGAACTTTGTCTGGGGAAGGTACTTGAACTATAATCGAACTTAATTTTGCTTCAAAATAACTATAATAAGTAATATTCTATAATTACAGATAAAATAGTAATTCCTAATCTTAATTTGTATAGTTTTATTATTTTTGAATGTATTATATTATAAACGATTATTGATGGCCATATGCAATACACAACTGCTAAGTAAAAATATTTTTTGAGTGCAAAACAAATATTGTCCACCTTCTGCCCTAAATATATTTTCTATAATACGAATCTCATAAAAATATAACAATCGATTTATAATTTTTTTTACAAATCTCTAATAAAAAACTACAAATACAGATATAACGATTTTATTTTAGTTTTTAAAATATTTTTCTAATAAATACTAAGGGTCTCTATAGGGTCATACTACATATATTTAAAAATAATTGTTTGACCATCCACATTATTTGTTTATACTAATATTAAACGGTTTATTTTTTATTGAACAGTTATAGCTTTAGAAAGAGCTTTAAACAACATAGGTAGAGTTGATGTAGTGGAGAAGTGTAATTTTGCGGAGATCGGGCACTATCCTTCGCAAAATGGCGTTTACGCAGAATCAGAAAAACATCAAAGTATTAAAAATTAATATAACGATTTAAAATACGTCCGTGTGTAATAATTACATGTATATATTGTAATCTCATATTTAGGCTATCAATCTCAGAACAACAAGTACGCCGCCGAAGAGAAGGCTGTGATCGAAGACGAGATCGTCAAAACCGTGACCGAGAGACGTATGGAAATCGAACAACGGCTGAACGGCGAACCGGTGGTCATCGACAAAAAGTATGAACCATTTATTAGGGCAGACGACGCTGCCCAAATGACATCCAAACCCGTGGATATACCCGCTGTCGAACCGATCGAACCCACCGAGGTGTCGTTCGAACACAAACGCATGTCATTCGAGAGGGGTGTGTCGATCGAACAGGTGCTTCAAGAAGACATTCCGGTTAAAGACAAATCGGTTATTTTGGAAGATAAAAAGATGCCATCGATCGACGAAAAACCTATCGACGTGGACGTGGACGCAACGAGCCTGACGTTTCACGAAAAGAGGTTGTCGTTCGAGCAAGGCATACCCGTCAAGGAAATCATACAGAAAAAGACGGAAGACACCACCACCGTACCTGCAGGACACGGAAAAGAATCGACGACGATAATTGAAACCGAAAATTCGGTCTCAAAGAGGGATACAACGTCGGCAGAAGGTGATATTATTATGATAGAAACTACCTATATCTAATATTACACAAACGAATTAATATTATTACTAATTAATCGTTATAAATAGGTACGACATCAGGTTGTTTTTTTTATATATATTTAATAATAAGAGAAGACAATTATGGAAATTAAAAACAGTATAGGTTAGCACAAGCATTTTTTTAAAGTCCGACTAATGCAAAAAACTGATTAACCATACACAAATTTAAAAAAAATAACAATACAATAATTGTTTTAATATGGTTGTAATACGTATTGTTTAGAAATAACGCATAAGTCAAATTTCATATAAAAAAATAAAATTCGCAACTTTAAGGGTTAAATTTAAATTTAATGATAAATCAATGCTGAGCGAAGGCTGTCTATTATCTTAGTTATTAGGTAGTCATTTATTTTATATTATAAAAATCCAGTTAATGTGTTTTAAATTATTTTTAACTGATATAAGAAAAACTTAAGTGGGATCTTGTATTACATTATTAAACTTTTTTTTCATCTAAAAATAAACATGTTAGTTATCATGCATAAATAAAAAAAAACTAAAAAGGTTGACATTTTCAAATATCTATAAATAACACAAAATATGTATGCAAATGCGATTTTGAATATTTAGTGAACATTTGAAGTTCCTATGCAATAATTATTATTTTTCGAGTTACACCAAAAAACAAACCTAATTTTGTTGAAAACTGATTTTGCCTAAAAATTTCCGTTTTGCCATATTTTTTTGGGTGTTTACCAGTTGCCCCCCAAGGCTATTATCGAGATTTTAAAAATATACCAGTTGCCCCCAATTGAATGTACCAGTTACCCTCACATGTTAATATATACACAATACAATATATAGCTCGTAAAATAGGGGAGGTAAATATACAAATCATAAATAAAATATAAAATTCAAAATTATAATAATTTGTCAACATAATATGTAATTTTAGATGCGTCTGAGTGGATATAATCATCGAAAACGTTTGAATTGTTATTTAGTATGTTAAAAGAAAAATGTTCTGGCTTTGAACTTGAATTCAATCCGTCAATTATTGTATCCGATAAAATAATTCTAAAAACAAAAATATTAGCAGATTAGATTTTGTAAAATAGGTTAGTAATTATTATAACAAAACATAATACTTTTGAATTTTATACTATTTATATGTTGACAAATTATTATATTTTGATTTTGTACTATTTTATATTAACAAATTATTATAATTTTGAATTTTATATTTTATTTATGATTTGTATATTTACTTCCCTTATTTTACGAGCTATATATTGCATTTGTGTATATATTAACATGTGAGGGCAACTGGTACATTTGGTTGAGGGCAACTGGTACTTTTTCCTCTAGGTAGTTTGGGGGATTTGGTATAAAAAAGGTACTTTTGGGGGCAACTGGTACATGCCCATTTTTTTTCCTGGTTATTTTTAAAAATACTGAGAATTTGACTTTTGAGTTTTTGACACTTTAATACCAAATATAGAATCAAAGTACAATATCTTACTATAAATCACACTCAAAGTTGAGTATTGAAACAGTTTTATTGCTTCCAAAGGTAATGATAAACAAAATAATTAATGCATTTCGTGATGAATATTACGTAATAAAGTGACTTAATCACTTTCCAATTTTCTATAATATTACTACAACCTCTGTAATAATGTTATTAGACGCAAAACTTTCTGACTCAAAATCAGATCTAAGGCCTAGCATTGAATTGACTAAGGACACAAATGAGCAAATAAGACGCGATTCTATATTGTTTGAAGAAGTTTCTCAAGGTTTGGTGAAATTAGATTCGACTGGATCGAAAGTAGAAGACAAAAGTAATTTGTAAAATATATTATTAATAATTTTTTAACAATAATATTAATTATTATTATATTCAATAATAATTGAGGCGTCAATAATAACAATAATTTATTTTATTTCCAGCTGAACTACTATCGCCTCAGTCATCTAGAACTCCTCCACCTAGCCCTGCAGAGTTCAAAGACATAGAGCAACAAAATGAATCTAAGCAACGCCAGCCAGAAACTGTATCTGAAAAAGAACCCCAAACAGGTAAGTGAACATAATTTTGTTTCGAACCGTTTTACTGTGTTGAAAGTGTACGAAAACGCAAGCCGTAAACGTTTTAGATTTTTTCACCATTATATTATTATTATTAAATTAATATTAACAGTGTGAATATACACAAAAATAGGTCGACGCGAGTTTAGGCTATCGTTTAAGGTTTCTTATTAAAACAATGGCTTCATTCTTCGCTAACGAGATAATCACATTACACAGAAACAAATTGTTCTGGAAGGGGCGGGGGAGTATCAGTCGACCTGTGACGGGGATACCTACAAAATATCACATTTACTTTTTCAACGAAAGAGACTTGAAGTTTAGTTTTGTGTGCCCATAATATAATAACAATAGTAATTTATAATTCACACATTGAAAGTTATCATAAGACCGTAAGTACCAATTTAGATATTTTATTTGTAATAAATTCTTTCAAAATATAAATATGAGATCAAAGCTATACCACATAGTCAAATCACGAAATAAATAAATTAATAAGTACTCAATTTTATTTTATATCGTTAGGTAGATATACTTACGATTATAATTTAGAAATTTATTAATGTATTATACATTTTAATTCAAAATGATAACTAGGTAGGTATAATAATGTATATAATTTAATTTTTTGAATAAAAACATTTTTTTTTTAACTTCCAAAAATAAACTGTACACCGGCTTGCGTTTGTTTCATACACATTTCAACATACATTGAAGTTTAAACAGTTTCAAGTAAAATAATTAACATTGCCTATGTTTTTGTGTATGATTGGCTTGAATACGTGATAACTAATCCTATTTATTTGTGCTGCAAACAATGAAAATGAGTAAAAACAAATTCTATTGAGCTGTAATAAGTTACAGTTATTACTAATAACTATTTAATTTGTTGTTAATCAATAACTAATCCAACAAAAAAATTCTTCAATGATTTTTTTTTTATTTGTTTGAATCAATTTGTTTTTAATATAGTCAGTAAGGTACGAATAATGTACGATTATACGTAGTTGTTTGCAGCACAATATTATCCTTTGATCCATTCAATCATCATTTAATTGGGTTTATTCATATCGACATCATGACAAAAAAAAAAAATAGGATAAATATTTTTCTTTTTATGTTTGAATTTATTATTTGATTAATATTTTTTTATGGCTTTTGCGGTGATAAGGGTCGTTGGCTTTATACATTTTATTTAAGATATTGATCTTGAGCTTTTGTACCAACACTTACGTGACCTATATTGGATTTTATTTTCAAAAGATTTCAAATTTTATTAAGCCTAACATTAGAGCCCTTCTATAAACCGCTTTTATATTATGTATTTTTGTATAACTTTTCTGTTTTAAAATGTATTTAAACTTTTTTTAAGGTGCTTTGATTTTTGTTCTATTTTTAATCATAAATAATAAGCCAATTTAACAAACAAAACGCACAAAAAGTTTAACTCTGTAACTGCAGGCTATGTATTTATTAAATAAGTAATATACACGTATATGGTTTAATGGGTAAAATAAAATTTACATTATGTACTTATATTATACTAGTTGATCCCATGCACTTCGTTGCCCGTTAAAAATGCCAACTCTATATGAGACTCGCTTGTGATAACGCGAGCAGTATATTATCAGGTAGGCAATCCACCTGCGGTGGACTGCGGACCCCATTATAGGTGCATACTCTTTATAATAATATGTTTGTTCTTATTTTATTTTTAATTTTGATTGTGGACACGCCGATGAGCGGCAATAAGTGCAACTCAGCCACTTTGGTAGGCAATGTATGAAAATTAGATTTGATGCATGCTTAAACCTGATCTGCCCGATTAACCAATGGCAACCAAAACACAATAAAAATACTAATTTCTACTAAAAATTAAAAGAGTTACACGGAAAATGAGTTATTAACTAAAATAAACATGTAAATTGTATTTGTATACCTAAACACACTTGTACGGCACGACGGCCCGCGGGTTTCTAGCTACCTGCAACCTGACCTTTTTGTCCGTCAAATTAAATCTTTGATTGGTAGTATATCATATGGGCGTATATCGATTCCGCCGATTTTATATCGATTCCGCCGGCTACCGTTTATAATATCTACATATTGATTCCGCCGGCTATTAGTTCCGCCGACTACTGTTTATCCCTCCCTTGTAATTTGTAAATGTATTTTTTAAATTACAGTCCTGCATAATATACTTTATAATATATATATAAAATAATAATAATTGTATAATAATTCAAAACTAAAATGTATAGTTTAAATTGTATAAAATAATAAAAATAAAACAAGTCAACAAACTGACACTTACATACATATAAATGGAATAAATATCAATACAATTAGTAAAAATAGTGTTTTTAACAAAAAAAAACAAAGTATTAAACATTTATCAAATGATTTGAACGATAATAAAATTTCTAAGTTCACTTATTTAAAACATGTGTCCAAATATTACCAAAAGTAGTTACATTTATATTATATTTATTTTAATTAGATTATAAATTTTAATTTTGAATTATACATTTATACAATTATTATTATCATTTTATACAATTCAGACTATATACATTTTAATATTTTATCATTTATTCGTATACTTACACGAATTAATTAGAATATACATTTTATTTTTGAATTATACAATTATTATTTTTTTTATTCTTATTATGTACTATGTATATTTTAAAATACATATACAGGGGGGGGGGGGGGGGGATAAACAGTGTCCGGCGGAATCGATGTGTAATATTATAAACAGTAGCCGGCGGAATCCATACAAACCTTTTTTCTAAACAGGTAGTTTCGGTAATCAATAATTCCCCTATCATATGCGCATTGTCTGTTAACCTGTGCCAAAATATCGTGCATCGTACGATTATTATTTGAGCGTTGTCTGTTTGCCTGCACCAAATTATCATACATCAAATGTGCATCAATATTCTGAACAATAGAAAGGAATAAGAAATAAATTGTATACAAATCAATTAATTAAGCACTGAAAATAGTATTAAAAGTCAATACTTGGTATATTGTAATGTCCCATTATTCTTACAAAATTAAACCTGTTTATTTCACCGGTGGTGTACTTTAGCCAATGTTTTTGACGCACACAATATTACCGCGGTACAAATATATTTTAAAACAGAAATACCTATACAATGTTATTTAAAAATATTAATTTAGAAATGTGTACATTTCAAGATTAAAATAAGAAAACAACTTAAGATTTTGGGTATACACCTTTTTTCAGTTCAATTGTTAAAAAATAATGATGCGCAAATGATGTGCGACCTTTTAAACGGTTGATGAGCAAATTATGTATATCAAAAAAATCAAACGATGTTCAACTGTCTTACAAAAAAGTCAAAATTAGCAATAGTAATGCGCAAAACGACAGCCGGCGCTTTGATTAGTAACATTGCGAGTTTGTGACTTAAGTTTGTACGTCTATTGCTGGAATTTTTAAAAACAAAAGTATTCCATCAAAACTTACCAAAAATCCTTAAAATATTAAGCTGGATTGCTTTGATAAAGCCATAATGATTGATGAACAAACACTTATCAAATAACTCACTGTACAATTTTTCATTAATTTTCTGATTGAATTGACAGTGAAATCTGCACTAAGAAATGATAAATTAACTATTTTTATATCAATATAATTTCGAAGTATGTATCTGTATTAAACGATAAGCGATAAGCGATATGTGTGATGCTGTGACTCTGGGAAATAAGGATTCATTTATATATATATAGATAGACTTAGATACATAGTCGAATTTTACTTTTCGGTACGATTCATATCTACTTACCGACCAAACACATAATTTGACGGACGAAAGTCAGGTTTCATGTTTACAATTTACACATCAAATATTTATTTTTGCTGATTTCAACCCATTAAAATTTTGAAAAATCCTTTCTCAGTGCAAAGCGAAATTATAATATTAATCTATCCTCAAAATATCAAGTCGATATCTCTAATAGGTTCGGCTCTACGTTGATTATGAATCAGGAGGGCATTTTCCTTTATGTATATAGATAATGTATTCTATGCTTTTCCACGTAGATGGACTTAAAACCATGAATATAGAAATAGTCATTAATGAAATTAGTTATTTTAGAAATACTGATTGAAATTAAAATTAATTTTCTGTTCGTGTTTTATTTCATTTATACTAAAGTAAATATTTAATACATTTAAATGCATGATTATCCCTATACCTACCCCACTATTGTGTAGAATATTAATTAAATATCACGTTAAACAATCATACAATTACAGTAGGTAGTACACATCTTTGACACCATATTTTTCTCTGAATTATTAATGAAAGTATATACAAATACGTTATACTTATTTCAACAATGAATCTATGACTCAATAGTATCGATGATCGTCTTACAATCAGAATATTGTTATTATAATATAACTGTTCATTTCATTCAAACATTTTAACTAAAATTATTATAAATTTAAAATATTAATATTTTATACTAAATTTTAATGACTTGAACTACATAAATGTAAAAAATAAAATTAAAGTAATATTCTACCCGAAAAGAACAAGTATTATATTATATTACTTTTACTGAAAAAACTACTTCTATCTAAATACACAAAAAAAAATTTAAAAACTAAAACTTTTTTAAGTACACCTATGTTGTTATTATGAATCATAATATTATATTTAATAACAAAACAAAATAAAACTAGTAAAATCTAAATTTTAAAAACTAGGTTATTTAAAATATAATTTGAGATGTAAATTATAATTTATAAATCATTTAAGAACAATTCTAGTTTCTTAAGAAAATAAATTTGAATCCGAAAATAAATTATTGTTTTAAATAAAGGTTTGGTTGATTCAAAAAAGAAATTGATTAAAAATGTCCAATACAATTTTCATAACTTCAAAATAATTCTTTATTGAGGTTAGGTAATAATTTATATTTGATTCTATGGTTTGATGCACTATAAGGAAAATATAGATCTAATCATTTTAATTAATTTTTCTATCAATTATAAATCTACAGGAACTCTAAAATATATTACATTTACATATAGTCAAAAGAATATCTAACATGTTAAAATTCCCCATTTAATATTGGGTTTAATATTTTTATACATCTAAGTACCATTTTAATAAAGTACTTACGTTTTTATACAAGATAAACAACATACACTTTAAAAAAAAAAATTAAATTACATAATTATTTAAAGTGGAAAGCTTAAAACACATACACTAACCCGCACACCATTAGGTACAAGCACTTACACATATGCACAAATAATAAACATTTGAATAATATTGAAAATAAAATGATTTCAGTTTTACTAATTAAAAAATTGGAAAAAAATTAAAAACGTGCCTATTAAATAGTAAGTAAAGCCATTAAAAAAAAATTTAGAATCAAATTTGAATGACAAATTATTTATATATTACCTATATTCATCGAAATCAAAGCACCACCGTCACACAAGATTACCAACAGAAAAGGGAACAAACAAACCACAGTATATTAATTGCACACTCAAATCGCTGATGCTACATTGTTAAGTAGAACCTTGCTTGGGAATGAAGAGCTATAATACTATATTGTCTCGCTTTTTCGCGGTTTTCTATTTAATTACACAAAAATACACACAAAACACCCACACAAACATAAAATTTAAATACTTATCATTTCACATCAAATCCTTTGGAACAATTTGTTATGGACCGACTGGCAGTTTAAATGTTAGATAGTAAAAAAAAAAATAGTCATACGTTGATTTTGGTCGTAGCATTATGGTCACAGGACAATGATGACTTGTTGGACACTCATGGTTTCGGTGAACATCTCAATGGCATTGAAACGCCAAATTTATCGAAGCCGAAAAATCATAAATCGTTGGCGGACATTGATGAGGAATTTGAAGAACGGTCGGTTGTATTGCACCCTTTCTTTGATCAACCAAAAAGAGACATTTATGAACAAGTACAATTTATAAAACATCACGATGACTCGCCTGCATTTGATAGCCCATTAACAGATAAAAGTGTATCTCATCACGATACGGGAATTAGTCTGACTAGAGAATATTCTGATACTTTAACTAGTTCAGGACTAAAAACAAAACCTAAACATACAGATACAGCTTTTGATGAAGAAGCAGAGCTAACTGATAATGGATTAAGTCCAATTCAACCTGATGAAGTCGGACTTGCTGCAAATGAAATAATTGAAATAAAGAAGAAAATTGGAATGTACGACGCCGGAAATAGTCCAATAATATTTATGGAATCTATAGCATTGTCTCCTTTTGGAACAGTGACAAGTGATGTTGCTACTATCACAGATAATGTGAAAAAAATTGATGTAGCAAACAGTCCAATAGAATCAAATAAAGTTCAAAGAAATATGGACACAACAGTAGACGTCAAAAAAATGATAATGCAATTGGAAAAATCTGGCACAGGATCGGAAAACGTGACGTCCCAACAATCTCCAAAAAGAAAACCAACACTAAAAACAATTATATCGGATATAGTACTTCCAGAGGAAAATCATACCATACATGTTGATATCGAAAAAAAACATAAGCAATATGATACAAATACAACGAATATACAATCAAAACTGGATGAAGTAATTAAAACAGAAAAATGTGTTTTGGAACATTTAGAAAAGGTTGTAGATATATCATCCAAAAATAATTCAGAGTTAGAAAGTAAATTAATGCAGATTGTTAACATCGAAACAAGCATGTTGCAGAGCTTTGACAAAATAATTGACAAACACGAAACAAGTATTAATAATTCGTGTCTCAAAAATTTAGAAAAAGATATAATATCAGTTGAGAAAGTCGATGAAAAGTTTAAAAAAGTAGACACGACAGATAGATTACAACAATCACCAAAGAAATGTAGTGAAGATAAAATTGAAAAAAAATATATAGACACGGGGTATAGAAAAGAAGAAAGTATAATGGAACCTATTAAAGTCGAAGGTATTTCTAAGGAATTAAAAAAATTAATGGACGATGATGAGAAAGAACAAGAAAGAATGTATAGAGTATTACTGAATGAATATAATACAAACGATGATAAATATAGCAACAAAACACCTGTAGTGGAAGAAATTATAACTCCTAAACGTGTAAAACCAATTACTAAAAAAGATGATGTCAAAGGTGATTCAAAAAATAACGAAATCTACAATATAACGACAAATATCAAAATACCAATAAAAGAAAAAATAAACAATACTATTACCACTACAAATTTGAAAGAGAATGAACGATTGAATATCGAAAAATATGAAACTGAAAATAATGAAGTATTGAAAAAAGATAAAAATGACAAAAATAAAAAAATATTTTATGAAGACGATGAAGAAGATGAGTCAGATATTTTTGAAAAATTTACTCGGGAACATTTAAAGAAGTCTTTAGACCTATCTCAAACAAATGTTGAAACAGACGATAGTGATAAAAAATATGAAAACAAGGATATAGATTTTGATATTATAGATGATGAAGAAACTGAAACGCACAACTCTAAAAAAGAGAAATCATTATCGTTTATCCCTAAAACAATAGAAAAAGGATTAAAAGATATTACGATGACACTAACGAGCATTGTAAAAAAAATGGATGTGAATGATATGTCAGGAAAAAAAAATGAGAATGAAGGAGGTGATAGAGTAACTGAGACAATAAATGATAGTGCTAGGCAAGGGAAAGGAGAAACACAGTTGAATAAAAATAATAAAAAACATAATACTAAAAATGATCTAAAATCTAATATAACTCCACAAACCCCGGTTTTAAAAAGGGATTTATTAATCAAGAGAAATATTAAAAGTGATAATCTAAGAAATGAGAGTATAGAACAATGCGAGTATAATACAGAAAAAGACAATAAAAAAGAAATGGTGAATAATTTTGAAAAAGAAATCGAAAATAATCAACAATTTAAGTTAATCGTAGATACAAATGAATATGTTAAACCAGTAACATCGACTTATAACTCTGAAAAAGAAATAAACACTAACACACTAACAACTGAAAAAATAAACACAAACAAAAATAATGATAATGTAGGTAAAGAAATTAATAAAAATGTAACATCATCTTCGATAGAAATTATAACAATCCCAACGCAAGTAAACTCATTAACAAATTTAACAATCAAGTCAGAAGTAAAAAAGCCCATAAAAGAAAACCAGAAAAATGTAGTACATAAAGATGATTCTAATTTCAATACAGTAGAAAAACAGATAGTAGGTGACCTAAACAATACTGAAACACCATATAACCGGATAGATACAAGTACAAATAACGAAATTGAAACAATACACGTAACTACAAGTTCAAACGAAACGTACGAAAAAACTGAAACACATACAAAAACATTGATAATAAAAACGAATAAAGAACATAGGCAGAAAAACATTACAGATATATATAGCACAACTCTTACAAACGATAAATTACTGACAGATGAAAATATTCAAATTAAAAACTTAAATCACAGAGATAACGACGAAAATATTAAGCAGGAAAGTTACCAACTTGAAAACAGAGATGAAAAATCAACAAAACAAAATAATAAAATTTATAGAGAGACAACCAATATGAAAGATGAAAAAGTGGAAGAACAATCAGAAACAAATAAAAACAAAGCTAAACCATACATCGAAGGTATTGAAACAGATAAAGTACATTTTGACGAGTTTTATAAATGGGTAGACAAAATAGTAGAAGAAAAAAAAGAAAATATAACAAAAAACCAAAGCGAGAACCATAAAAAACCAAATCTAATTAAAACACTAAGAACTGCATCCATCGATAAAGAACATATAGAAGACGAATCAAACACAGTTAAAGAATTCATATCCAAACAAGTTACATCAAAATATACAAATGAAAAGGAAAATGAAATATTACAAATTACTCAACCACAAACACAACAAACAAGAACTGAAACAGCTATGATAATAACAACCAAAACCAAAGTAATATCCGAAAACAGAAAAATAGAAAACATAACAAAAGAAAAAAGTGAAGAATCTAAATTAATTATAAGTGATATTAGGGATCAAATAAAACAAATTAAACCATTGGGAAAAGAAACAACTCAAAATATAAAACACGAAATAAAAAATGACGAAACAATACATGACAAAGAGAATTTAACTAAACCTGACTCAAAAGAAACTATAGTAACAGCTACAAGTAATACAATTACGGATCAAATTATGAGAAGTGTAAAAAATAATGACAAACAAACAAGTGATGAAATAAGTTTCAATAAAACTGAATCAAAAAAATCAATAAAATCTGATAAAATAGAAATAAATTTACCAAATGTGATAAAAGAAGTTACTAACTTACATGAGATAATAACAAAAGAAATTGATTCCATAAATATTGACACCACAAAAACAATAACTAAAACAACTGATACTAAAGAAATAATCGAAGATAACCAAATAACCGAAAAACACAGCGGGGACGTTAATGATCTAATTAAATCTAATAAAAAAAAATCTATTATATCAACCTCCAGTGATAAAGAAATAGGTGAAATTCTTAAAACAGAAAAACAAACTGG